TCTGGAGGCCTTGTAGTCCTTCTCCACCACTATGAGAGACTCAGGGGAAAGAGCTTTATCCCTTCCAGCACTTATATGTGGGCCTACTTGTCCCAGATCTTACTTTCTAACTCTACTTTTCCTTTTTTGTTGTCTGTCTGTCACTCCCTGTTCATCTGTCCAAAGTCGGTCACCCCAGTGCTTTTATGCCTTAAGCCTCCAGGACCCAGGACGTTCAGGGCTGGGCCTTGTGGGAAGGGTATAATAGGGATGACCAGACCAGATTCTGGAGTGAATACGGAAAGAAAGAGAAGCAGAGGATGGGGCCAGGAAGAAGGAAGACCAGGGAAGACTTCAGAAGGCTGTTTTAGGCAGAGAGGAAGACAGAATCCAGGAGGTAGCATAGGAAATTCCAGTAGTAGGCAGAATACTGCCCTCAGAATGAGGAAGACTTAGGTTTAAATCATTTGGCATTTACCAGCCATGTGACCATGGACTCTTTATTTAGCTTCTCTGAGCTTCAGTTTACTTACCTGAAATAGGGACTTCTCTAAGATGCAGGGAAGGTGCTGACTTGCTAGGCCAAAAAAATCACAGGCTAGTCCCCGTCCCTGCCCTCAGGGTCGAAACGAGGCTCAAATGAAAGGGACCATCCCCTCCAGACTCTGTCCTTTGACAGGGAAGCAGTTAAGTGACTTCTGGAGGGACATACAGATAGATAGCAGATGTCTGAGACAAGTTTAAAGCCAGGTCTTCCCAGCTCTGGCTCCTCCTGTGTGCCAGGCACCATCCGCATACAGAGCACTTTGACAATTTTAAACCATTATATTACCACCTCTTCTTGCCCTTTGTGTCATCATTATTATCATTGGATCAAGGACCTTTGTCTTTTGATGAACATGAATGTCACTACCCACACTAGATGAGGATTAAAGATACATTGACACTGTGTATAGACTCTGGACCACTAACAAAGATTTTCTTAAAACTGCAAAATCCCCATTTGGTTGCATAAAAATCACGTTCACAAGTTACATTCATTTAGACGAGTTCTCCTTACTGTTTATGCTGAGTTATCATGAACCACAGTGGTATCAAACTCAAAGAGAAACAGATCCCTGCAGGCCACATATTGACTTGAAAGCCACAAATTAACTTTGTCTGCATGGTATTGTGTTTTTACTTATTTTATTAAACATTTCCCAGTTACATTTTTATCTGGTTCAGTTTTGCCGTGTATTGTGGCCTGGGCCATGAGTTTGACAACACAGATATAGCACATGCTTACCACTAAACATGTGACAAAATAACTGTGTGAGTTTTATTTGATTACAGCCCAGATTTCTGTTCCAGAGACATAGGGATTTGCTAGTTAATAGCTTCTTAACAAATGAAAAAATCTCTAACTCTAAACATGGCAATATAGAACTTTAATTAGTTTTTTTTTTTTAATAGCTAACTTTATCCTGTCTCTGAAATTTTTTTCTTCTTTGAGAAATCCTTAGTAGTATGCCTAAGGTCATAGGATTTAAAGCTGGAAGGGATCTTAAAGATCAAATCCATCCCTTTTGTTCTACAAATGAGGAAATCACAGGGGTTAAGTGACTTGCCCAAGAACATACAGCAAGGTAATAGCTGGGCTATGATTTGAAGCCACGTCTTCCTACTGGGCCCTCTCTGAGATATGGTCTCTTAAGGACCACTTGTGCCAAAGGTTTGTAGCTTATGTAATGGGAAGTTCTCTCGATCAACAAGTGAAGCCTTTCCTGTGTGTGTGTTGTTATGAGTGGCGATCTCAAGAAAGATCATTGCATGAACTTCAGAAAACCTGGAAAGACTTGTATGGACTGATGCTGAGTGAAGTGAGCAGAACCAGGAGAACGTTGTACACAGTAACAACCACGTTCTGTGATGACTAGCTTTGATAGACTTGGCCCTTCTCAGCAATGCAATGATCTAAAACAATTCCAAAAGACTTATGTTGGAGAATGCTATCCACATCCAGATGCAGTTTGAATGCAGATAGAAGTGTACTATTTGCTCTTTTTTTCCTTCTATTTTGTTTTGTTTCCTCTTTCTTGTGGTTCCTCTTATTGATTCTAATTCTTCCTTACAATATGACTAATGTGAAAATATGTTTAATAGGAACGTATATATAGAGCCTGTATCAGATCGCACAGCCTCTTGGGGAGGAAGAAGGAGGGGGAGGGGGAGAAAATTTAAAACTCATAATCTTATGGAAGTGAATGTTGAAAACTAAAAATAAATTAATTAAAAAAATAAAGATCATTGCATGTCAGAAATCCATCTTCTTGCGTGGTCTAGTCTAGGGGTGGGGAATATTGCTCTGAAAAATATTTGGAAGAAAACCAGGTAATCTGTTCTGTTTTTAACCTTAATGTTGCAAATTGCACAAGACTTTAAAACCTGGGAGTTTCAAAGTAGGAAATAGGTTGTGTCTGGTAGCGCTGGTGTGCAGGCTTCCTCCATACTGTTTAGATGTGGAGGGGATTCGTCTTTCAGGTTGAAGTCAATCATCTTTAAGTTACTTTCCAATTTTCTGATTCTATTAGTACCTGTGAGGGTATGTATAAGTAAGTCCATAGTGTGCCAATTGGACTCTTCCTGTCAATTTGATGAGTTCTTATTCTTTTATCCTTTTAAGGCAAAGTGCTTCTCATCTCCTTCAGGATGCTTTATTTTAAGCACTGAGTGCCTCTGTTGAGGTGGCAGCTAGGTGATGCCACAGTGCATAGTGCTGGGCCTGGAGTCGAGAAGACTTATCTTCCTGAGTTCAAATCTGGCCTCAGACACTTACTAGCTGTATGACTCTGGGCAAGTCACTTAACTGTGTTTGCCTCAGTTTCCTCATCTGTAAAGTGAGCTGGAGAGAGAAATGGCAAACCACTCCAGTATTTCTGCCAAGAAAACCCCAAATGGGATCATGAAAAGTCAGACACAACTAAATAAAAACAACAGCTCTATTGAAAAGTTATAGATTCTCGTTTCTCTGTTTTTTGAGTAGTTGGAGAATCACATCAGTGTGAACAGGGACAAAGGAAAATGATTTGTCCTACTAGCACCAGGGCTCCAGGGCCTTTTGAATTTTGCATGTTGTTTTGCATTCCTGTGAATTCTTGCTGCAGCAGGACAGAGGAGTATTTCCTGAAAGAGTTGCGAAGTCTGTATCTGACTCTGGGCAAAATGCAAGTGTGGCCTTGTTTACAGATAAAGCAAGAGGAATTTCAAGTAAATTAATGTGGGCTGATGGGAAGGATAAAAAAAAAACAAACCTCCACTGCTTTGGAGCGTGAAAAACAATGCTAGGCAAGTCACCTTTTTTCATAGCTCACTCCTCTTTTACAGCTGAGGAAAGTGAATCATAGAGAGATTATTTACCAAGATGACTGAGCTAGCTCGTGGGGAACCTGGGACTAGAATCCAGGTTTTCTGTTTCCTACTTCTATCTGGGGAAGGGAATAAGCATTTATATAGTGCTTACTACATACTAGGCACTGTGCTCAACACTTCAGAAATATAATCTCTAATCCTCACAGCAGTCATTTTACATGTGAGGAAATTGAGGCAAACAAAAGTTAAGTGACTTGCACAGTTACCCAGCTAGTGAGTATCTGAGGCTGAATTTGAACTCAGGTCTTCCCGACTCCAGGCATGGTGCTCTATCTACTGAGCCACCTAGCTACCTCTGATGTGTATCATATGCAGAGCATTATGGATTGATTTTCCTTATTGTAATTCCCTCAAAAACCACATATTAAGTATTGACCATTCCTGCACTGGTAGCCACTTTCTATTTAGCCACCTGTGACTCATGAGAAAGAATCTGAGTGGAAACAAAGTTGTATCTACTCAAGGCCCAACACTCTCCAGGACTCTCAGCTGGTGACAAAGGGTGGGGAACCCTTGGCTCAGCCTTGGACCCTGGCCTTGATCGATCTAGAGTCCCGCTGTTGCTGATTCTTCCTTGGCTTCACAAAGTCCACTCCGCCCTCTCTTTTAGATCTGCCTCATTCCCTGCTGCCGCATCCTTTCCACATATAGACACACCTCCTGCCTTTTCTCTCCAGCTCCAGATAATTTGGTAATGGATCTCTTCCTGCCTGTGCAGTTTCTCCTTATCTCTGGCCTTCTCAGACCTAGACTGTGCCACTCTGGGTGGTGCCACCCAACCAAGATCTGGCCGCCAGTATGTGTACCCCTCGATATTAAATGGTGCAAAGGTAGATAGAGTTTGGGTGTGAGCCCAGTTATGTGCAAAGACTGTGCTGCTTATTTGTTGGGAGTAAGCCTTTGTGTACAAAGGCCATGAAGCTGTTAAGTTGCATGACCAGGTAAATTTCTTATCTACCTTGCTGACACAGTCATGAAGAAGATACATTCCTTTTGATGTTTTATATGTGAAACTTTGTTTCTTTGAGAATTATGCCAAGGTTGTCAACACACAGGTCCCAAGTGTATTGGTCACGACTGGGTGTTTTTTGTGTTTTGTTTTTGTTTTTGTTTTTACCAGCCTGACTGAATTTATGACATGACCTAAAAATAGGAAAGTTCTGTGGCAGGTTCCCTACTCCTATTATGGGATATTATAACACTAAACAGCAAACCTGAAAAGTAAAGTCTTTAACACCTAAACATAGATTTTTTAAAAATCTCTGTGTATTTTAGAGGAACTTATAAAATTCCTAACAGGGTTGGATTGTACTTGCTTAATTTGGCATTCATGGTAACTGACGTAAGACCATTGATTTATTAGTGGACACTCAAAAAATAAATACTGCTTGATAATTTAGTCTGCTTATAATTCCAAACCTCTTAAGTTTTTTTCTCATACATAAATGCTCTTAGCTTTAGAAAAAAAAATATATATATATAAAATGTTTATTAAATGAAAAGAATAACAGAAGATAGGCCAGTCTTTAAGACACTTGGTATCTATAAATGAATGCTTATAATATCTAAAACTTTTTCTCAGATCAAATTTTGCTTCTTCCCTATTTTAGAGAGCACAGAAATATGCTCACCAAGTATTGCAAGGGGAATGTCGACCCCATTTTGTGAAAAAGGAGATGGAACGATTATTTGATGAGAAATATGGCACAGACTCATCCCCTTTTGTGAAAGAAAATATGGAAATGAATGAAGATATATATAAATACGATCCTCCATTTGGATTTCGCAAGTTCTCCAGTAAACTGCAAAACCTTTTAAAACTTTTACCTGAGTACGATTTGCCCGAAAACTTGAAAACAAAACGTTGTAAACATTGTGTTGTTATGGGAAATGGTGGAATACTGAATGGACTTGGACTGGGTCATATATTGAATCAGTTTGATATTGTGATAAGGTACGTGATAGTCTACTGTTAAAATTGAGTTTGTTTCTTAGAGAATTCAGTTTCTAAGTCCTTCATGAGTCTTCCCTGTGTGGTGAGGACTGTACTAAATACTGTGGGACACATTGAGTCTTGATTCCTGATAAGACAAAGTGACACGTATGAAATAATTGAAGACATTAGGTAATTAGATGTGTGGCAAAACCAGATATGAATACGAGTAGGAAGAATGACAGAAATGTGAGAAAAGCAGCCAGGGAGGCTTTTATCAGGGACTTCTAGAAAATAAGGATGGAACCAAGTCATGGCCGGTCCTGAAAGCCAGGCCAAGGAGGTGGGGCTTGGTGTAGGTGGTTCTTAGACAGAGGGGCGCCATACTGAATCTGATGCCTTAAAAAGATGAATCAGGCAGCACAGTCTGTCCACTTCTTCATGGGGCCACCATGGAGGGGAGCCTTAGGTTCTGAAGGTTCTGCCAGTGGAGATGTATCAGATTCCACCACGCTGGAAAGATGTCAGGTTCAGCCCTAGCAGCAGACTATGTTGGCTTCCTCAGGGCTGACCTAGTTAAGTGTAGAAAAGCTCATCACCAGCAGATTGGCCCCTGAATAATACATTTTCTGATCATGATGACCAATGAAACAGATATCGATCATTCTCCATTCTTTGATACCCACTTCTGCTTTGACGAGGGAATGGTGGTAGAATGGGGGGCAGAATGGCCAAGAATTAGTTAATGTTAATGTAGTCCTAAAAAAATGGAACCACTATGGTTTTGACATGCTCACTACCAATGTGAACATGAAGCTTGAAGAAGTCAACAATCATTTATTAAGCACCAATTGTATGCCAGGCACAGTGCTAAGCACTGGTGATAGAAAGAAAGACAAAAGAAGCTCCCCATCTAATAAGGGAGACTACATTCCATTTACATAGATATATGCAGAATGAGTTGGAAATAATTAACAAAGGGAAGGTGCTAGAATTGGGGGGGGGTCAGAAAGGCTTTTTAGAAGGTGAGATTTTAAGTGGGACTTGAAGGAAGCCAGGAGATGGAGATGAAGAGGGAAAGAATTTCTGGCATGAGAGCAGCCATTGAAATGCCCCAGGTTGGAAGATGGAGCATCTTATGAAAGGAACAGCAAAGAAGGCCGGTGTCACTTAATAATAGAGCACATCTGGGGAGTATAACATGTAAGAAGACTGGAAACTTAGGAAGAGGCCAGGTTATGAAGGGCTTTGACTGCCAAAGACAGGATTTGATCCTGGAGGTGATAGGGAGCTACTGGAGTTGATTGAATAGAGGGGTGACATTGTCAGACCCATCCTTCAGGAAGATCAATTTGATAGCTTATTCTCCACTCATAAAGACTCGTGGATGGCCTTGAGTTGGAACAGACAACTTAGGGAGACCAATCAGAGGCTATTTTTTAGTCTTGATGAGAGGTAATGAGGACCTGTATTAAGATGGTGGCAATGTCAGAGAAGTATAATGAAGATACAGATATATAGACATATATATACACACACATACATATATATGTTATGTAATGAAGGTAGAATACATAGGACTTTGCAATGGATTGGATATGAGGGTGAGAGAGAGAGAGAGAGAGAGAGAGAGGAATTGAGAATGACACCTAGCTTTCAAGCCTGAGTAAGTGGGAGGATAATGGTGTCCTTGACAGCAATAGGAGAGTTAGGAAGAGGGGAGGAAAGATAAGGAATTCAGTTCTGGACATGTTGAGTTTAAGGTGGCTCCAGGATATCCAGTTGTGGTTGGCTAGTGGATAAGTAGATCTGAGAATAATCAGCACAAAATGGTCATTGAACTGAAGGGAGCTGATGAGATCACCAGGGAAAATAGTATGTGGGGAGAAAGAAAGAAGGCTCAGGATCGGGCCTTGGGGGACATCCACAGTTAATGGGCATGACCTGGCCAAAGAGTCAGCAGAGGAGACTGAGAAACGGTCCCAGCCTACGTGTAGGAAGAGTACCTGGAGAGGGTAGGGTCATGAAAACTTAGAGAGGAGACAGTATGAAGGAGAAAAGAGTGATTGATCATATGAGAGGCTGCCAAGAGGTCAAGAAGGATGAAAAGTACTGACCATTCACAGATGTTCCCTTGAGTGGCCTGGTGTGAGGAGTGGGTCAAGTTGGATTCTCCATTCTCTTCAAAGTAACAAGAAGCCATTTCATGGCTCATTTGGTCATTTGGCCTTGTGTCCGTGATGAGCTTAAGCAAGAAGGCCATTGTGAAGATAATCGTTTTAATGTATGTTGCAGAGGATAGAGAAAGAGAAAATGTTTCTCAAAAACTTCACAAACGCCTCTAAACCAAATTACCGTGTTCCATAATGCACAGTGACTTTACTCCCTGGCCATCTTCTTGTCAGCCACCATGCCACCCAGACCAGAAACCCAGCCCCAGAGATATGAGTCCTTCATCCCCGGAACAGGAGATGAACAGGATGTCCTCACTAGTGGTTACTTCAGTCACCCACTACACCTAGGCCCAGCTCCAGCATGTCACTGTGCACATACCCCCTCCAAAGCTCCCCCGCTCTGCACCATCACTTTCCAGTTCTGGTATAACAATCAAATAAGCAGTCATTGCTCTTAGGGTGTGTGGGACATTCTGTTCTCCTATGGCTCCACTCACCACCTCTGTAATGTTCCTAATCAAAATAACCCTCTTTAGTTACCATTCCTTATGTGGGCTGTCTTCATTGAATAAGACATTGGTAAAGCACTTGGCACTATGCCTGGCATATAAATAAATGCTTCCTTCTTTCTTTCCTTCCTTCCTTCCTCCCTCCTCCCTTCCTCCCTCCTCCCTTCCTCCCTTCTTTCCTTCCTCCCTTCCTCCCTCCCTCCCTTTCTTCTTCCTTCCTCCCTCCCTCCTTCCCTTTCTTCCTTCCTAACTTCCTCCCTCCCTTCCTTCCTTTCTTCTTTCCTTCTTTCCTTCCTTCCTTCATCCCTCCCTCCTTCCCTTCCTTCCTTCCTCCTACCTTCCCTTCCTTCTTTCCTTCCTTCTCTTCCTCCCTCCCTTATTAGAATGTCAACTTCTTGAGACAGGGACTGTCTTTACTTTTGAATTTGTATCCTCAATGCTTAGCCCAAAGCATGGCATGTAGTAAACATTTAATAAATGCTTTTTCATCCATTTCGTTCATTCAAAAAAGTGGAAAGTAAAAACTTCTTTTGGGAAATATTATTTAAGATACAAAATTAAAGAACCCAAGTGTTTGTTTCATAGTTTCATAGATTTTTGAGCTGGAAGGGGAGTTAGAGATCATGCAGTCCAGTCTTCATTTTTTTTTCAGATGAGGAAAATGAAGCCCAGAGAGTGTAAGTGACTTTCCTGAGATCACACAGGCTTTTCCCATGGTACAGTGCACTCTATATCACAAATACCTTCTTCAAAAAGAACAACTAGGGCAGCTAGGTGGCTCAGTGGATACAGCACCGTCCCTGAAGTCAGGAGGACCTGCGTTCAAATCTGGCCTCTGACCAAACACTTGACACTTACTAGTTGTGTGACCCTGGGCAAGTTACTTAACCGCAGTCGCCTAAAAACAAAACAAAAAACAGATGTGGTAAACATGGCAAACAACTTCACACGCAAATGAAACTATCTTTACAGACAGGAAATGACTACCAATATGGGACTCAGTCCCAAGTTAGCTGTCTTTATGGTCATCCATTGGTTAAAGCAAAGTCAAAATAAAACCAGACTAAAAGGAAAAATTAAAAAATAAGAAGAAAATCTTTTGTGCGGTTTCCATAATTCCAGTCCAACTTACTTAAACTGTTAATGCTGAAAAAAAATGGAACGTGGAAAAAAGTAAAGTCATTGACTGTGATTATCACTGTTTGCAAGATAAGTTTAATTTACGTAAACCAGATGCCACAGCAAGGAGACCAAAGGACCCCAGAAAGTGGCTCAGCCAAGTAGGACTATGTAGCAAGTAAAGGCAGCACTGATAGAGGGTACAAGCTTTTTTTCAAAATATTCTTGGGGATGGCGGAAGATTGTGAACAGTATTGTCTTATAAAACAGTACAAGTCAGTGTGTGGGAAAACTTGGCGTTAAACTTAACAAAGCCAAGGCTCCCCAAAACATTTAGAGATTCGGTACTATTCAACAGAGCCCTGACTTATGTGCAAGGAGCCAACGCTGGGGATGAAAGGAAAAAAGAGGTATAATAATCCATTCCCTCGAGGAGATTACAGTCTTCTGTGAGAAGGCAACATTAAAACAAACCAATATAAGGCAATTTGAGGAGAGAAGACCAGCAATTGGAGGGGATCAGGAAAGGCTTCATGGAGGAATGAGCCCCCAAATTAGGCCTTGAAGGAAGATAAGGTTTCCAAGAAACAGGGTGAGAAAGGAATGTATTCCATGCTTGTGGGACGCGATTTGTGCAAATACATGAAGGAATGGAATGGAATGTTGAGTATGAAGAATAACTTTGGTTAAAAGTTCAAGTTCATGAGGGGGAGTAATGTGAAATGAGGTGACAGCCAAATTGTAGAGGTCCTTAAGTGTATAGCTAAGGAATTCATATTTTACCCTAAAGCCAAGTTTGGGGAAGGCAAAGCAGGGGAGTTAGTGACATAGTTAGATATGTGCCTTATGATTATCATAGCAGCTTTGTGGAGGATGGATGGGAAAAAAGATCAGCTGGAAGCCAGGACACTAAGAGACTATTACAATAGTCTAGGGGAGAGAGAGCTCATGGGAGCCAAGAACTAGGGTTGTGGATGTATACGTCTTTAGAGAGATGAGTGATTTGACAGATATTGTGGGGATAGGCTTGACAGAACTGAACAAGTGATTAACTGTGGCAATAAGGGCAAAGTGAAAGGTTAAGGATGACTTTGAGGTTACCAACCTGTTTGGGAGATAAGTGATGCCTTTAACAGAGATAGGGAAGGTTCGAGGAGGGGCACGTGATATGTCTGTTCTGGGACATTTGGAGTTTGAGATGCAAGTGGAACATCTAGGTGAAGGTGGACAGGACGAAAGTGAAATAGATGATATTAGGTCCCTTCCAGGTTTATGAAGCTATATGGATGTGAGGATGAAGAGCTATGAATCCATGAGGCTAGGAGTCTATGATCTAGACTAGATCGAGACTAGAATCGAGAAGAAGGATTAGGATTAGGATTGACTATCCAAATGTGGAATAGGAATATCATAAACCTGCAGAAGTGGTTGAGATTCTCAAGAGAAAGATCAGATAGAGACAAGGCCCCAGGGCAGAGGTTGAGGGACATGTCCACTTAGAACATGGGAGGCCAGTGAAGAATCCAGCAAAGACTGAGGACTGTTCAGACAAGAAGGATAACAGATAGGTGCAAAATGGAACAGATTTGCCAGCATTTCTTTAGCCACCCCTTCTCATTATTTTGACTTTACTGCCTGAGTGCCTCGGCAAGGAAGGTGCTTGGTAAGGAAGTTAAAAAAGGCACTTAAGGAGATTGTAGGAAGAATGGCCAAAGTATGTACAAACAAGTAATCCCTGCTGCAGACAACGCAATTTTAAAGATGATCAGGGATTGACTTTCAGAGTATTTCAGAGACTGAAACATTTCAAAAGAATGAAAAAGACCATAGATGGTGAATAGTAGAGTGACATTTTCAAGGTGTGTGTGATATTGAAATGAATAAACAGCAATGCAGAAACAACAGGATGGTATCCATTTTTAGACTTTCTTTGAGAGGTGAAATTAGAAAGCCACAATGTTGATTTATGGGATTGGAAAGTAGAACCTATGAACAAGAGGTTAAAACTAACACAATATACATACATTCACATATACATATGTGTGAATACATATAACACACAAAAGTGTGTTTACATATATATGTATATATAATATATATGTAAACACACTTTTGTGTGTGTTTCTTCCTTCCTTTCTTTTTTTCTTTCTCTTTCTTTCCCTTCCTTTCTCTTTCTTTCTTTCCTTCCTCTTTCTTTCTTTCTTTCTTTCTTTCTTTCTTTCTTTCTTTCTTTCTTTCTTTCTTTCTTTCTTTCTTTCTTTCTTCCTTCCTTCCTTCCTTCCTTCCTTCCTTCCTTCCTTCCTTCCTTCTTCTTCTTTCTTTCTTTCTTTTCTTTCTTTCTTTCTTCTTTCTTTTTTCTTTCTTTCTTTCTTTCTTTCTTTCTTTCTTTCTTTCTTTCTTTCTTCTTTCTTCCTTTCTTTCCTTCTTTTCTTTCTTGTATTATTACCAAAAAAAAGTGGTAACCAAGCCAACATTAACAATTGCTGACCCACTTGCCTCTTTTTTTGTATAAATAAAATTTTTGAGGATGGTCAATATATATATGTCATGTGTCATTTGTGAAAACATGAGAGGAAGAAACAGTCCAGGCTTCTGTAAAGATTTTTTTCTAACCAACCACGTCTTTAGCTGACTGACAAGTATGGAAAGTATACCATCCCACTATTAGATTTTTGTTGTTGATGATAATTACAAAAAAACAAAAATAAAAAAAACTTGATTCAGTGGAGTTAAATGGTCACCTTAGATTTGTGTGTGATGTGGAAAGGACTACTAAATGTGCATTTATGACTTTAACTGCATGCACACCTTGTTTGAATAACATGAAGGTCAACGACAGGTAATTAGTCTGATAAAGTTGTATTTATTTTAACATTTACTTTTCCTTTTTTAAAAAAAAAATAGGTTAAACAGTGCACCAGTTCAGGGATATACAGATCACGTTGGGAATAAAACTACAATAAGGATGACTTACCCAGAAGGAGCTCCATTATCTGACCTCGAGTATTATTCTAATGACTTGTTTGTTGCGGTTTTATTTAAGAGTGTTGACTTCAACTGGCTTGAAGCAATGATAAAAAATGAAACAGTGGTAAGGAATGAAAATTCATCTACAAAATATATGCTTTGATTGAAACAAGGTTTGAGATTTAGTGCCAGAAGAGGGCCTTTAAGAACCATCCAGTCCAACTGGTTCATTTTACACCTAAGGAAACTTATTCACCATCACCTAGGTCTGAAGCAGCAGTGGACTGATTTAAAAACAAAGCAGACTTTGTTAATTCAAATGAATTATCCTTCAAAGTGGTCCCCTTGGGGAGGCTATACCCTGATCCTGAAGATGAAGAGTTTTACAACTCAGTTTTTGGGATATTTCTTTGTCAATTGCCTCCAGAATCTTGATTGAGCCACACGGGGGGAAAAAAACCAGCCTCATCACTACATTAGTCATATGAACAAATAACATTCCCCAGTTTAATCATCTATCATTTATCAGAATTTGTTCAAAATGACTTTTGGCCATTCTCAAAAATTGAGTCTGCCCTCAAAGGATGAAAATATACCACCATTGAGTATATTTAAAAGGACAGAATACAAGTTATAAAGACAGTTCCAAAAGAGAACTTCCAAAAATATTTTGAGCAAACCTTAGCATCATTTAGAGTTGTTGGGGTTTTTTACATAAAAAGTGCACTATTTTATTGTCACAACTCATATATATGACCCAAGTCATAATATCACTTGTGAAAGAGTAACTGCTTTCAGGGGTATATATGTATGTCTATATGTGTTGGGGGTTTTTTGTGTTGTTGTTATGTCTATATATTTTTATGAGCAGCAAGGTGACACAGTGGATAGAATGCTAGGCGTGGTGTCAGGAAGACTTGAGTCCAATTCTGGCCTCAGACACTTACTAGCTAAGTGACCCCGGGCAAGTCACTTAACTCTGCCTCAGTTTCCTCATCTGTAAAATGAGCTGGAGAGGGAGATTGTAAACCACTGTAATATCTCTGCCAAGAAAACCCCAAATGGGATCATAAAGAGTCAGACATGACTGAACAACAACAAATGTATTTTTGTGTATTTGTAGATATACATAAGTATTAGCCATATGAAAATGGAGCATTTTATATATAATTTTAAAAATATAACTACTATTTAACCTTCCAAATCATACCAGATTGTTATATGCCCATGGGGAACTTAGACCTTCAAAGCTTATCACTATGAAGTTCTTCAAAATTGTCACCTTTTTCTATAGGGCAATTAGGAGGCATTGAAGAAGGTTTTAAATTAGAAATCAGAATTATATATTCCTCAGTCTATACCATTCTAAAAAACCTTGAGTAGATTCAGAAAGGAAGAGAAAGGAGGAAGGAAAGAAGGAAGGAAGAAAGGAAGGAAGGAAGGAAGGAAGGAAGGAAGGAAGGAAGGAAGGAAGGAAGGAAGGAAGGAAGGGAGAAAAAAAATGGCCTGCCTTCTTCCAAAGTTGGAAGCAGTGGTAAAAAAGAAAAGAAAAGCGTATTGTGTATTATTTGTTTGACCTAAATTGCCAGTCACCATTTGGAAGGCTATCTGTTCTATACACATTACCCCTCTTGACAAACTAGCATAGATCATGAGAACAATAAAGTTTTTCTATAGGTTTGAGTTGTGTTGAAATAGTGTAGGTAAATGGAAAGAAGCATGGAGCTTGCAAAGAGAAGACCAAGGTTTTAGTACAAGGTGTGGTGCTAACTCATTCTGTGCTCATATCACCCTGAATCTTAATTTCCTTATCTATAAATTTGGAAGTAATAATACTTGAAGTACCAACCTCACAGGGTTGAGAAATGCTCTTTGTTTTGAGCAATGTATGAAGTGGCATGGTACAACATCTCAAAGGTGGAGGGGATCCTCAGTGCTATTCTAATCTAAATCTATCCCTGATTGCAAGTGCCTTACTAACTCCACTGAGTGATCATTCGTGTTACACTTGAAGACCTTGAGTGAGGGTACTATCTCTGGAAGGATCCCATTTTGAGTATCTCTAATTGTTAGAAGTTTTTCTGTATGTCATACCTATATCCAACCATTTAGTTCCATCCTCAGGCCAAGAATGAGCTTACTCTCTCTCCCATATAACAACCCTCAAATACTTGAAAACCACTCGTGTTCCCTCTCCCCCTCCCTCAACCCTCAAATCGCTGTTTCAGGTTAAGTAATCCCTGTTCCTTCAAATGATGCACATATGACAAAAATCTGCTCTATAAATAGAGGATAAGTTCCAGACTTGGGATTTTAATGTGTTCTCAAATGAGGAAGCAGCCACCAATGTAGGCGGGCACCTTCTCTGCAACTTTAGCCTTAGTGACCTAGCATGCTGAGGAACTTGTCCAGAGTCAGACAACCAGGAGATGTCAGAAGTGTTACTTGACCTTGGGTCTTCCTGTCTCCAAGGCCAGCATTTTATGTACTGCCTCTTACATAAACATGAATCACTATTATTAATATTATGAAAAATTACTTCCCCTCTTCAGCCATTTTGGGTACGCCTGTTCTTTTGGAAGCATGTCGTTGAGAAAATACCACTCCAATCAAAGCAGTTTAGGATTCTGAATCCAGCCATCATTAAAAACACTGCCATCGACATGCTGCAGTACTCAGAACCTCAACCAAGAATCTGGGGCTGGAGTCAGGTATGGTCCTTTTGGTTAAAAAACCCAAAACTGCCATCTCTGGGGAGGGACCACACTTAGCGTTGTTCCAAATGTGGTAGACTGAGTGCCTAGTGTCTGCTGCAGCAAGAGTAACCCTGTCACCCCAGGACATTTATTAAAAACGTGCGTGTCCGTAACTCTGTACCTTAAATAGAAGATTCTGAGTGAATTATTAGGCTTCAGTGACTGAGCTGAGTAAAGAGTAAGCACGTTGTAACTCTTGTGTATCACTATTGTATCATTTAGGATACCATCGCTGCAAGACCCAATTTTATATGTGACTGTGCAGAACACTAAAAGATGCTGATTGGCTTGTAAAATAAAATACAGCTTTTTGTCCAGTACAGTTCAATGTGTATCATGTGTGAAAGCAGAGGGGTATTTAATGAAGGTTCTATGCCTGTGTGAAGTATACAAAGAGGACCACAGAACAAGTCCTGCCCTCGAAGAACATAGAATCTAGTAGGGAAAATAACTTTGTTGTTGTTGTTGAGTTGTTTCAGTCTTGTTATGTAAATATAAGTAACTGTCACACCATAGGGTGTAGTAAAGGATATTGTAGGGTGTGGTAAGTTAATGGGAATTTAGAGGAGAGAGAGAGAGACAGAGTCAGAGACAGAGAAACAGAGACACAGAGAGAGAGAGAGAGAGAGAGAGAGAGAGAGAGAGAGGCAGATAGGGAGATCAGTTGATCGTTCAATCGATTACATGTGGTTGATTGGGAAGGGGGAGGAACCAGGGAAGGAGTAGGAATCATTTGAGCCCACCCAGTGGAGACATCCATATAGAGAACAGCACACACAAAGGAAAATATAGAGTGTATTTGGGGAACCAGTAAATAATCGAGTTTGTCTGGAATAGCAAGTACTTTTAGGAGAATATTAGGGCTAGACAGATAGGTTGTAGGCAGTTTGTAAAGGACCTTGATTGCTAAACTGAAATTTAACTTTCTTCTGTAATGATGTTTGGTGTCATGTTGATGTCCACGCTCAGGAGTCTGTTCATTTTAGCTGAAATGGTACTAGAGTCATAATCTTTTGGTCTGAATAGCCCGACTTCCTATAAAGGCAGTTGGCATGCTTTCCCACTTAGTGCGGTTTTGGGAAAAAAATGATTTTTTATTAAATAAAATTGTCAAGTTATTCATGAGCATAATTATTGAAACAGCATTTAAATAGATCTTAAGGTTTTTCACCCAAAAAGCCCTTCCCCTTGCAAACACCAGGTCCTATACTTGTACTCTTGACGTACTCTGCCTCATGTTCCTGTTTTCTTTCCCTCTTAGTCTTTTCCTCTTTTCATCTTCATTCTCTCCTCATCAATTGGCTCCTCCTTGCTACTTAGCAATCTTCCCAGCTCTTCCATATCCTATGAGAGAAAAAAAGTCCACTTGGCCCTTCCATCCCCTTATGCTATACTCCTCTATGTGTTCTTTTTTCACAGCCACACTCGTAGAAGATGTCGTCTACAATCATTGCTTCCAGTTTCACCCTTTCAAACTGGTTGCCTCTTGAATGAAAATTCTTAAATTGACCAAATGTCTCTGAACTGCTAAATCCAATGGCCTTTTCTCAGTCTTTATTCTACTTGGCTTCTTTGCCATTATTGCAATTTCCAGTCTCTTGGATATTCTTTCCTCCCTTGGCTTCTATGATACTGTTCTGTCTTGGTTTTCCTCTTGTCTGTCTGACCACTCCACCTCAGTCTCCTTTGTTTGCTCAATCTTTCAGCCTAGTTAGTTTAGGTTCCTTGAATCTCTTTCTTGTACCTTCTCTAGAGGTAGTCTGTCTTGGTGAGACAATCAGTTCCCACAGGTTCATTGATCATGTTTATGTTAGAGATTCCCAAATGTACATATCTAGCCCTTGTTGCTCTCCTGGACGCTGGTCCTGTATTGCCAGCTGCCCACTGGACTTATTTCCCCCTGGATGTCCGATTGTATCTCATTCTCAGCTTATCCCAAATGGATCCCATATTCCTCCCCAAACTACTATATTTTATCCTCCAAACTTCCTTCTTTCTGTCACCCTTCCCATCAGCCAGGTTTGCAATCCTAGTCTCCTTCCTGACTTTCCCTTCTCTTCACCCTGCCCTCCCAATATCCAATCATTTGCTGACTTTGGTTAATTCTGCCTCCACAACATGTCTTTCCATTCACAGATACCACGTCTCACTTAGATTACTGACATAGAATTGCCAGAATAATAGGTTTCAAGCATGGGTCGGACCATCTCAACCTCCCCCACTCGAAACTTTAAGAGGATCTCTATTGCCTCCGAATAAACTAGAAACTCCTCCTCCTGTCCTCCTCCCTCTACAATCCGGCTCCCCAGACATACTGCAGCAGCATGTCATTCCCCTTCGGCTATTTCCTAGCCGACTACTTGTGTGCACTGGACTTGCTGTGCTCCCCTGTCTGTGCCACTGCAGAGTCTGTCCCCGAGCTGAGAACCTCCCCCTTCTTCACCTCAGTCTCATTGAGGGCATAGCAGGAGAACATTCTTGAGCCCCCCAGTTGTTAACGGTCATAGCTTTCTCAAAAACTAGATGGCTCTGGAGGAGAAAGTGAAGCTGGTGACTTTGCCCAGGCCTCCCTCACTTAAATCCAGTTCATTTGCATGCTATGGCATCACCTCCCTGATGTCAGAGTCCTCTTGGAGAACGAAGGAAAACAACAACAACAACAACAAATTGCTGTGTAATTCCTGATGTGTGTGTGTGTGTGTGTGTGTGTGTGTGTGTGTGTGTGTGTACTGTCTCCCTCCCCAGTAGAAGGTAAGCTTCTAGAAGGCAGTGACAGTTTCTTTTTCTGTCATTGTATCCCCAGTGCCTAGCACTATGCCAGGCACACAGTAAGCACACAATAAATGTTAGTTGAAAAAATTAAGTTGAATAATGTGGTTTCACTCTAAGAGATGTTGAAGACCTCTGAAGATTTCATCTAACCGGGGCAGCTAGGTGGCGCAGTGGATAGAGCACCGGCCCTGAAGTCAGGAGGACCTGAGTTCAGATCTGGCCTCAGACCCAACACTTGACACTTACTAGCTGTGTGACCTTGGGCAAGTCACTTAACCCCAATTGCCTAAAAAAAAAAAGATTTCATCTAACACTATGCTTTCAAGATTTCAAAAATTCTAGTTGCATTTTCAAACTGTTCCTATTTCTGACTTAATTGTACTTCATTTGTTTGTAGTATGAAGTCTGAATGAGTATCCTAAACAAACATTTCTCAGATGGCTTGTACGTTTAAAAGGCAATTTCACTGAGTCCTCATCCAGTATTTCAGGACAAGATACTTGCCCTATTCCCCAAGTGACATTTTTAGAGCTCTAAGAGGATAAAACTATTCTTGAGCACGATGATGTGCTGTTTTAAAAGCTTTCTCTCACCCACAGGAGAATCTGTTCCTTATTTTGTTGAAACGCTTCTGAGAACCACCAGCCATTCTCTTCAGAGCCATCCTCTTTCTGATGTTTTTTCTGTTCTTCTGGTTGCATCACAGAATTTCAGAATCCAAAGAGACATTAACAGCCTTCTAATTCACTCTGTCCCCCATCCCCCACCAAAGATGGCTCACTACATATCCTAAAGAAGTAACCATCCAGCCTTTTCTTGGAGACCTTCACTAAAGGAATCCCATAACGTCCTCAATAAGTCCATCCCACTTTGGGACAGCTCTGATCGTCAGGAAGCTTTCCCTGACACCAGACCTCAATTGGCTTCTTTGCAATTTCCACCCATTGCTCCTAATTCTTCCCTGTGGGACCAGACAAAAGTCTAATCCTTCAGTGTGTCCACCCTTCAAATGACTGAAGAAAGCCCCCTTCCCCAATCAAGAAATCTATGGAGACACTACAGTAATTAACTTTTTCTACTTCATCACTGGACAGAAGTCAACCAGAAGCCAGAGGGCATCCATCGACACAGCCAGTGCCAACACAGAAGAGGTTCCCAGTGTGATGAGACACAGGCCGGGAAGCATGTATTGCCTGCCAAGCTCTGCACCTGGAGGATGCAAGAGTGAAGGGCCTGAGAAGCCCCAAGGAGGAGACCTTGGAAGGGCTCCAGAATGGAGGCAGTAAGCAATGACCGCAGTGGCCACAGCCCTTATACAAAAACAGCTCGATGGTGCCGAGATTCCTAACATCTGAGGTGCTAGTAAAGGACCTGAAGATCCAGCATTCTGAACCTCAAAGATCCAGGGAGGCCTAACTGGGGGAGGTAAGCGCAGGTAGAGCACAAGAGAGTGGGCCGCGCCACCCAGCAGTGCAGCAGGGGGAAGAGGAGCCAGGCCCTGCCGCAAAGCCCCAAATCAGGAACAAAAGCTGAAGCAATGAGGAAACCAAAAAATTTCAACCTGTAGCAAAAGTTATTGCAAGGGTGGGGAATCCCAAAAACAAAGGAGCAAGTAACTCAGTAATAATTGCAAGTGTAAACTCAAAGAAAAAAAATAGATTTTCCACCAATACCATATAAATACCTAGAAGAAATGAAGCAAGAAATAACAAATGAAAAAAAAAAGCTTCTAGAGGAAACAATTGGCAGGAGAAGAGAAAGCAGTAAACGTTACTCAGGAAATTGACTCTCCTTTTCTCCGTGATCCTTTGGAATTCCCTGACAGCACCCGCTGCTTCTTCTGGGCCTTGCCTCATCAGGTGCAACAGTATCTTTCTTGGCACCTCTACTCACCTCCAGCATTGGCTGAAGCCCTTTTTTGTTCTATCCTTTGCCATTCTAAAGTTTACAATTTATTATTGGTGGAGAAAACTGAAGTAAAATAAAGAATTCAGCCACTCCACCTTATTTCTATTGTCAATATCATCATTCCCTTCCCCCTTCCCGCCTCCTAAACCACAGAACCCATTCTTTGATGATTGTCTTTTTCCACAGCTTAAAAAAAAAGAATAGAATAGAATAAACTTGCTTCCATTTTCTAATGTTAGCCTTTAACATCTAACTTGGCTGGTGTGTTCACTCTGCACCTGCAGCAGCCTCTGCAGAAAACGTTCACTTTTTTCATCAGAGTTGTTTCTCTTTGTGGGACAGAGTTCCTGTTAGGTATGAATCTCCCTTCAGCATGCTGTGATCTTCTCCAGCTGTCCCTCCTCAAGACATATGCAGATTTAGCTGGAAAGGAGAGACTGGGCTGGCCTGTCAGGGAACAGGAAACAATTTAACCCATGGCAGGTTGACCCTGTGTACTGGGAATCTAGGAATTGCTAGGTGGCACAGTGGATAGAGTACTGGGTATAGAATCAGGAAGATGCATCTTCCTGAGTTCAAATCTGGCCTCAGACGCTTATTAGCACTGTGACCCTGGTCAGGTCACTTAACCCTGTTTGCCTCATCCATGAAATGAGCTGGATAAGGAAATGGCAAACTGCCACAGTGTCGTTGCCAAGAAAACCTCGAATAAGGTCACGAAGAGTCGGACATGACTGAAAAATGACTGGACAGTAACAACGCTCACTGGGAATCTGGAGAATTTCTTGCTCTGTTGTTCAAAAAAAGAAGAAAAAGGTCATCTCTGGCAATGCCAGCCCATGATGTTAATTCTTGGCAGGATTATAAAATGAAGTGGAAAGGAGTCTGTGTGGTTCACGGATGATGAGCCAACCTCATTTTCATTTCTGACAGGGTTACTAGATTCTTAGTCAAGGAAATGACAAATGAGTCTCGATTTTTAGTAAGGTATTTGATAAAGCATTACGATAGTCTTGTGGACACAAATTGATAAAATATAGGTTGAATGGTAGTAGTACAGTTAGGTACATTTGAAGCTGGCTGAACAGCTGTACCAAGAATATTAATTAATTGGACCACCATCACCCTGGAAGAGCGGTCTCTATTAACATGTCTAGGACTCTTTCCTAGGCCCTGTCTTGTTCATCTTTCCCATCATCCACTCCTGTTAAAGACTTGACAATACATCTATCAGATTTGCAGATGAAGTGGAGCTTGGAAGGATAATTATAATTTGATAGAAAGCAATTTTTAAAGACCTTAGTGGACTGGAATGATAGCCTTAAAACACCAAGATGAGATTTAATGGGTATAAATTTCAGTTCGACAGTACAGTGGATAGCATGATGTACTTGGAATCAGGAATACTCAAGTTCAAATCCTTCCCCTGATATATTCTAGTTGTGTGATCCCAAGCAAATCATTTAATCTCTCTCTATCTCAAGGGCCACTGTATATAAAATGTACTCAACGTTCTCCAATGTTCCTGCCAATTTTAAAATTCTCATATTGTGATTCTAAATGTAAAGTCTTATATTTTGGTTCAGAAAATCAATTGCATAAATGTAGGATAGGGGACAGTGACTTGACAAAAATTCATGTGAAATTTGGGGAGGTTTTTTAGTTGACCATATGTTCAGCAGGGATCAACAGTGTACATTGCCAGCTAAAACATCTAATAGAATCATAGGTAATATTAATGGCGGCATGAAGACTAGGTCAAGGGAGATGAGAATCCCATCATGCACTGCTGTGAGCAGATGACCTGCAGAATATTGAGCTTGGTTTGGAGTGCCACATTTTAAGAGAGATTTTGACGGATTGGAGTGGGTGGGATTTTGAAGGCTCTAGAAACCATACCAAATGAGCAATTAAAGGAATGGAGATGTGCCCTACATGAAGAAGAGAAGACTACAGGGAGATATTTTGTAATTTGTGGCCATTTAATAAGAGTTATTCTAGAGCACTGGCCCTGGAATCAGGAGGACCTGAGTTCAAATCCAGCCTCAGACATTTGACACTTACTAGCTATGTGACCCTGGGCAAGTCACTTAACCCCATTGTCTAGCCAAAAAAAAATACATAAATAAAATAAAAGTTATTCATCTAAGGTAGGGTGCTAACTAGAAAATAGTTAGTGAATAGGAATTTCTTTTTGAAAAATCTCTTTTCTTTCCTTTCTCAGAATGTGCCCACCATGGGCATTGTTGCTGTTGTCCTGGCCACTCATCTGTGTGATGAAGTCAGTTTGGCAGGGTTTGGATATGATCTCAACCAGCCCGAAACCCCATTACACTACTTCGACAACCTCTGTATGGCAGCAATGAATAAACAAACAATGCACAACCTGACAACAGAAACCAGATTTCTGCAAAAGCTCGTGAAAGAAGGGACTGTGAAAGACCTGAGCGGAGGAATACATTGCGAATTTTAAAGAAGATGAAAAAAAGGAACCTTGCAATTTAACCTGAGAGGGCAGCTTTCAATGGGACTCCGCACACAGGTTGCCAACCACATTCTTCATATTTTTCATTGTGTTAACATTTTGAAAAATAGCGGGGGGGGGGTTCTTACTCTTTAAAAAAGGTCATTTTATTTTCTTGTGTTATTTATTTGAGGTCAGTGTTTGTTTTTGCACAATATTTGTGTAAGCTGATTTTAAGAACTGAACTTAGTTGGAAAGATTTTTAAAGAGAATTTATGTGATATTGTTTTATTCTATTTTGGAAAATAATTTACATTTTAGAAATCTGTCTCTATACTGCACATAGCATACCATGTAATTAGGTGAAGGGAGGGAGAAGGTATCAGTCATTCTCTGGTGGTTCCTGCATGTTTATTTTCTAATGTGTTATTCTGCCAAGGCTGTGTGGAGAAGGGCTAAGGGCCAGCAGACCTGGGGGGTGCAGCTTCGCCAGGGCACAGGCTGGTAGTGGATTGGAGAGCCATCCTCACTGATGATGACCACGCCACTTCTTAGAACACCCTGGCTGAACCTCTAAGTCAGGATAAGGGAACCACCCTGGGGGTCCAGATGGCTGGGGCAAAGTCTCCCCATCTTCACCTAAGTAACTGACTAGGACAAGCCCCTCAGTTTTCACAGAAATAGTGGCTGTTTGGCAGCCCAAAATGGGGGTACAAGAGACTTGAACTACAATGCTATTTTTTGTTTTTCCTTTCACTTCTGATGATTCTACGCCACTCTCTTAATTCAAGATGCTCTGCTTTGTGTTTATAAACAAGACCTTTATCTGGTTAGTGTTGCTTTTGTTAAGTACAGTGAAGCTTCTGTTATCCAGAATCTCCAGAGAATGATCCATTCCAGATAAGATGACTTTTTTTTTTTAGCTAGATGAGAGTTTCCACTGCAGCTTTTTCTAGTTGATGATGGAAATCTTTCTAAAATATGCTAGGTATTTCCTGACCTTCAGATGTTGTGTTTTGCTCTAGGTATAGGGATAGAAGCAGATGGAGTCAGTATGAACTCACCTCATTGCTTCTCCCTGTCTCCCTCTCTCTCTCTCTCACACACACACACACACATACACATACACACACACACACACACAGAGGCAGGGAGTGACTTCCCCACTCCGTTAGACAACAGGCCTGGTTGGTGGCAGATCATGAACCCCTGGGAAGGTGCACTTGACTTTCCTCTTGGCACTTTTCCTCACTCCCCCATGCACACGTTCTCTGTCTTGGTTTTTCGGGCCATATTATACTGAAGTACAGACAGATGTCTTCTCTGCACCCAACCGCCTCGGGATGCCAAGATGCCCTTATTTCTCAGTCACTGAATCTTTTCTCTGCCGCCTGTCCACAGCCTGGTGCCCCTATGGCTGCTCCTTGTGTGACCCCTCCCTTCCCCCAGCTGCTGCTCTCTCCCTTTGCTCACAGATTGTCTTCCTTTTCGTTTCTCTTGCTTCCTGTTGTCATATCTGCTGGGGGTTGTTTCTATAAGGCCAGTTTTGTAGATGTTTACCAGCCCATCGGTGCCCAATACACAGGCTCTGGGTTTTCACAGCCTTTTGGCCATTTTCACTGGAATCTTTGCATGTGAGTCTTTTCTTATTGTTTCCCTTATTTATCAAAACTTGATTTTTTAATCAGAAATTTTTCCCTTTAATTTTTTTTTAACTTGAGAGTCTAAAGTCATTGTGGATTTTTAAGAGTACTATAAGGCTACAATATGATGATGATAATTTTGTGTTGTTTACCACATACACACATATACCCCCCCCAAAAAAAACTGCATACATAAAATAAGTTAGTTGTGAAACAAATTTGGAAAAATTTCCTTTTCTGTATCTCAGGCTACATTTTGATGGCACTAGAAAATACAGACTAATTAGTAGCTATTTTTTAAAACACCATATTCAGAACTAAGAACAGGGCTTGGAAAAATGCACTGGGGGATAGGGGGATAAATAGGTCTAAATATAGTCTCTTAGTTTTTTAAAAACAGAATTAAGCCAGGCTCTTAACAAAGCACTTTTAGTTCTCTAGAAAACTATTTGTGTCTGTTAAACGATTTGTTTTATCATTTATTTATGTTTTAAAATTAATATAATAGAAATTATGTTCATATGCACAAATCACATTGACATAAACAACTTGACCTTAAGTCAGTTTAAAAAAAAACCCAACCTTTTCATTTTCTTAGTCAAACAAGTTGTTTGATATGACACGTCAAGTTGGTCCAAATGCTCACCCAGATTTGTGTGTATAGATACACATTCATACAAAAGAATGCCACGACAGAATCTTGAATCTAATAATGTTTTTAAAAAGAGTTGGCAAAGGATACGTGTTTATTTCGATGATATAGTAGCAACTCTTTGGCATGTTATACAAAGACCTGTTGGATTTTCTTTGTAGGGTGCTAATTTCTTCAGATGCTTTTACAGCAAAGGTATGAACAGTCAGGCTGAAAACCAGTCAGTTCTTCTCAGGACCATTCCTTATTTTCAGTCTTACAAAATCACCTTATGTGTAATTTATTTTGTCAGTTTTCAAAAATGATTCCTATACCAAGATAAATAGCATAGAGTAGAGGAAAAAGTCATAATTCTTGTGATGATTTTTGCAAGTGAAAAAACTCCTTTGTTATGAAGCAGGGTTTTTTGTGTGACTATTTAGCAATGTTCAAATGTTACTATAAAGGATCTATGCTCTCATACATACATGTACACAGCCATGTGCGTGCGTGCGCACGCACGCACACACATACATATCCAGAGCTGAAAAACCAAGGTCACCCTCAAACAAAGGCCCCTCTTGTTTGCTCCTGGTTATTTCTACTGCTCCCATGCCAGTGGTGAAAGGAGACTTTTCTTCAGCTTTAGAGCAAAGCCTAGCCCCTGGTTCCTTTTCAGTCTTCTTCTTCCATAGTGAGTTATCCAAACCTCTCACACTTCCTGTTTAGAGGGTGACGGACTTGAATGCCATATGAAGAACTTTACAAAGCCACATGAAAAAAGGTGAACAGATCTCAGCGTACACATCACATTTACACAGTCCCTCCAGACACCAGCTCACTTCCATCTTGCTTCACCACTGAGACATGACCATGTATCTTAGGTACGTTCACACTTATAAAGCAAGAAAAGTCACACAGGATGCTGGTTCCTTGCAATCCAAAAAAACAGTACGTGAGATACATAAAACTGAGGCTAGTAAGATTAGATTACATCAGAATAAATGCACATGTGTACAGCTTATATGGATTGGAAATTTACATAGGAAACCACAGTGGACCCATAGGCAAATCATTGTCCATCCTTTTAAATGTTAGCCTCGATGTCATTAGTGCTTCAGGGACCTGTGATTTCAGCTTCTGAATGTCTTCTCCCTTCTCCCAACCCTTCTCCACCTCCAGTCAGAGGTGGCTCTTCATGAATTTCTGTAGCTGAAAAGCTACATTGCCTAATGTCCAGCCATGTGGAAATAAGTCTGTCTACATACAGCCAGGCCTGCAGATGCCAGCTCTGTGCTCGCATCCTTCCCAACTGGGTAGAACCTGACAGAGTTTGTGTTTCCTTGGCACAGAAACCCAAGCTTATCTTCATGCCACTGTCAAGCATAGAAGTAGAATTGTAGCAAAAGAAATGTCTTTCTAATTTGAGTAATGGTCAATATTTATTTGTTCGCTTTGGTTATTACCAAATGGCAAATAACCAGAAAGTAATTGATAAAGTGGAATTTCTTGATTTTCCAGTTAAAAAATGCTCTAATTAAGGTTTGCATTTTTAAAGATGTTATGTTAAGAAAATAGCATCTAGGAAGGCATTCTTAAATCATTTTCTACCTAGAGAAAATGTAAAATGTTGCTTCTGTGTGTTAGGATGAGGTCTGAGACCTGCCATCCTTTGTACTCTGGGATGAGAATGAAGCTAATCTGTTTTTTAGAAAGTAGGCTATTGAACAAATTGTATATTCAGCCATGTCACCACTAGTGTGGCAGCACTAGTATGAAATCTGGTTGTTTGCTAACAATGGGGAACTAACTTTTAAAACTGCAATCTATTTCTACTCCATCAATTATCTGTCTTTCTGTCTGTCTTTCTATCTGTCTGTCTATCTATCTGTCTATCTATCTATCTATCTATCTATCTATCTATCTATCTATCTATCTATCTATGTATCTATCTATCTATCTAGTATTTCCTCATTCAGGAGAAAACTAGTTCCAGGGAAAATTTAAAATGCTGAGTAAGCCCTGGAGGAAAGGATCAACCTTAACTGCCAGACAGTGTTATTAACTTCTACAATGATATGGAAGAAGGTGCTGAGGGAGTTGCCCAAGGACAACCCAGCTACTCACAGTAAATAAATGAATGGTTAATCCTAGCAGGGCCCTTGGAGATTTACTTTAGTTTAGTTGTGTTTTTTTAAATTACCATTGAACCTAAATGAACAACATAGATCTGAACTTCCTTGAGGGGGCGTAACTTGTACATTATGGATACTTAGCAAATACTTGTTCAGGTTTGATTATCAGCTGAAAACTGTAATTGAATCTTGATTAAAATGGTACATATCATTACTAACCAGTTGTATTGAACACTACTCACCCACTTGGAGGGCAAGGATGGAGTGTGGGTCAGAGAAAGCAATAAATAATGAAGCTATTTCTCCCTTAAGTTGGGAAATCATAATGACTTTTTAAAGGGGAAAAAAAATAACTGAGCAGGTTTTGTAATGACCAAATAAGGACATAGGCATCCTGTGAAGAAAACTTATAAATTATATGTGGAGTTGATATTTACCCTACCTCTTGAAAGAGTTACAAAAGTAAAAAACTGAATGGAAATGTGTGCATTGGCATTCAGACTGTTAACTGGAAGATTTTTTCTGTACCTGAAATTAGATTTTTGCATCAAAGGTAGTTTATAGTATTGTACAGTATTTGGAAACTAAGCTAACGTACCCTTTTGTGATCTAGTCATTTCTTGTCTTTTCATTTTCACCATCCTCTCTTAGTTACCGGAGGCCCAAAATAAAGGATGATCTACTCGAGGCACCTCTCCTTTGTTGGGACAAATGCAGTAATTTAGAAAGTAGTGGGGGAAAAGAAAGTGCCCTTGGGTTTTTTTTAAACTATGAATAATCCTGCCAAATGGCTCACCTTGGTTTTTTAGTGTACCTCCTGTATAATTCTATCTACCTCACAGAAATGTTCAGAAAATAGGGTACTATTGTTATTGTGCTTTGAGATCCTCCAATGGAAGATCTTAGAAAGGGCTGGTTCCAACCATCATTGAAAACAGCACATGAAGCAGCCAGAACAGCATGACTGATTTTAATGATGTTTTAAAGAAATGCCAAAAGTCACTGTCATTGGCTTTTAAAATGAAGAACATGAAAAGCAAAATTTTAATAAGTACAACAAACTTATTTTAATACTAAAGTATGGTCAGGTTAAGAGAACAGGAAACAGACACGCACATCTGCAGACCAAGAGATGAAAGAGACGTGAGCTGCACTAAGGAGCTTTTGTGCTGAATCTACTTCAATCACATTGTACAGTTCATTTTGATTATATGCAATGGTCCATTGTCACCATCTTCCTCGCCCTTTAAAAGCTGATGGAATCGCCAGCAATTAATACAGCCTTTTCTGTACCAAGAATTACTTTTTTTCCTTTTGTTTCTAAAGTTTATTTTTTAAATAAAGGTTGACTTTCCAATGGAACTTAATGTTTTGGATATGTCTGATTCAGGTTTTGGAATTTTTCTTTAGGGGGACCAGCAAGATGACCGAGTAGTTGTTTTCTTGCAAACCCACAAACCTCATGGAATAAAACCATGCACTAAATAAATATAGTGTGACTAAAGCTGAACCCCACCCCTAGATTAAAAGTCAGAATCACATCGGGTAAAAACATGAAATTACCACTAGATAATTCAGGTACCCAAAGGCCCTCCTCAGCGTCCTCACCCCTCAGTCCACTGCTGGATACAGTGAACACAAGCAGCCTTCCAGCCTGGTCATTCAGGGTCTGGCCAGGAGGATTCCTGCCCTGTGCCCTCATGTCAGTTGACACAGCCAGACACTCCCCTTTCCTACTCCACAAGAGGGAGCAGATACTGAGTCTACCACTATGTGTGAAGAATATATGGAGCACTAAACATGGGGGCTGTGGGAGAACAGCATAAAAGTAGTAAATGGGAGAGTTTCAGATTGGGGAGTGGGAGCTTGTCCCAAAGGGGAAAGGAAAAGGTAACATGGAGAAGGAAGTGTATGGCTATGAAGGATAGGGCCTTCTGAGGCATTTTCTCTTGGGACGCACCTGCACATTAGAAGACCGTCTTCTCCAAGAAAAGACTGCCCCCCCCCGGACTGCATCCTACATCAGGAGAAGGGACCTTTGAGTTCCCAAGTAGGGGGAGGGTGTAGAGATAGAACATAGAAGCAGAGATAAGATAATAATAAACCCTTACAGGTGGTTTCTGCTCATGATAAGGATAGGGAGAGGTAGGACCAGGCATCATAACTTAGGACCCAGAGTAATTCTCACTGTAAGATGTTGCTTCCATTTGGTGAATGAGTGAAGCACCATGCCACACGTTAGGACTACAAATAGAAAAATCAAGAGTTCCTGTTCTCAAGGAGCTCACACTCTAATTGAGGAAGATAATACTAAAAGAAAATTCAGCTGGAAAGAATGAGGAGCTCTTAAGGTCCATAAATAAACCAAATGGCAGTGCTTGGAGTCTTCAGAGCATAGAGGTGGGGAAAGTGAAGATCCTCCATCACATCCGAAGAAATGGTTGTTCACTCATCTCATCCAAGCTCTATGAGCAGTCAGTTGGCTGGCGGGAAGGGGAAAAGCAAGAGGGAAAGGGTGCCTTGGTGGTAGCACATTATCCCACTCTTTCCTGGCTTATCTTGAATAGAATCTGGGCCTTGTTGGGAGAAGAAACAAGCAAGAACTCAAAGGTTCCTCCAAGGGGACTTCTTTTATAAATTGTTATTTGTAATGGTGAGGGATGGCAGAATACAGGGAAGATTGGGGAAGAGCTACAAAAGCAATGCGTAGACATGGCACAGAAGAGAAAACTCAGATTTGGTGCTTACCATTTACTCCCCAAAGGGACAGAGTTAAGTAGGAATATGTAAGGGTATGTAACCTATGAACTTGATAATACAATTCAGAATAGACTAGAAGGGAAGAGAAATAATGAGGATAAAGCAAAGGAAAGTTTTGTTTTGTTTTGTTTTTTGGTGGGGGGAAGGGGGGAGGATGCAGCAAAAGACTGCTGCTTAAGACAATAGGTTTTGGAGTGGCAGATTTTGAGCCACACAACTGGATGGGGAAAGAGAAGCATCAAACAATGGGAAATAATTTTTTAAAAATAAGAATTAACAACATAGTAAGCAATTTAAAGGATTTTATATAAAGCCAACAAATGAGGGCATGGAAGGGGGGCCTTGTGGAAATAAATATCAAAGTGTAAGAAAAACTCTTTGCAGGGACAAAATAGTCTCTTAAAAGAATAAAGGAATCTTTTTAGTTAATAAAAGAAAATTACAAATCTGATAAACATAACTTTCAATGTGCATGGATTAAATGACTTACAATATAATGAGTGGCAAAAATGGATTTTTTAAAAATCTATAAATAAGAAACATCTAAAAATAAAGACAGACAACATGAAAATGATAGAATAGAACAAAATCTACTATGATTCCAGAAAAGTAAGAATTGCAATCATGCTCTCAAACCAAGTAGAAATATTTTTTAAATAAAAATTAACAACATTAAGAGAAAGCCAATGCAGAGCTACACAGTGGGCATGATCAGGGTGAGCTTAGAACCACCAAGGAAATACAAAGAAAGTAGAAGTAGAAGATGTCATCAAGGAATTGGAGAACCAGAGAACTCCACTGGTACCCTCATCATGTCAGGATAAAAC